TACCTAGTAACTTCTATCATTACAAATCCAGGGCCCTCTCATGATGAACCTCACCATGATTGATCATGTATAGCCGTACTGACTATACTTGGCCAATTGCAGGTTGGTGAAGCTATAGGATCCAGTTTGTCCTGTTATTTACCTATAGTTGGGGAGAGAAGAAATGGATTTATTTCTTTCTTAAGCCTATTCACATGTAAGTGAATGTAGTGAACTTGACTGGAATTGAAACTGAGATCTCCAATTTCTCAATCTGATCCACTATCCATTACTCTACCATGCCTCCAAACAGTCATTATAATGAACTACCATAATTCCCCATGTATAATACGCATTTTTTTCTAAAAAAATAACAAGCAAAATTAGGGGTGCGTATTATGCACAACTACAAAAAAAATCTTCAAAAAAACTGCCATTTCATAGGTCAATTTCAGTTGCAAAATGACTACTCATCACAAACATACAACAATTTGACACTAACATATGATGATTGTGACCCCATGTTAAATAAAATCATATGTACCTAACAATACTTACAAATGTAAAATAAAGTAAGAATTATAAAACTAAATTAAAATAATATTATTCTATGTTCAAAACCATTTTTTGTGATAAACTACATACAGATCCATTAGACTTCACATTTTATTGAACAAAAACAGGCTAATGAGTCTTCGCAATAGGCACAATATAAGTATTTCTGTTTCCTTTTAAAATTGTGATGATTGGAAATTTTGATAAATATCTTCAATTCAACTTGAATAAGAGTAGGAAAGGCTGACCATAATGAAATTGGTGAGGTACAATTTATAGGGTTTGACTAACAAACAAGGGGTGAGTATCATGCATGAATAGAAGCATTTTCCCACACTTTCAGCACAATTTTAGTGGTGCGTATTATGGATGAAGGTGTATTGTACATGGGTAATTACAGTAAATGTTGTCAGTATACATATATATTTGAATTTGAATTGCAATAATCAAATAAACTTCCAGGATGTATCCACAAAATCATGCCTTTTGTGCTGACAACATTTCATTCTTGATAATGAGAAACAGTGTAAAGTATTTGAATAGAAAACTTTGAACAGTTTATTCAGTTTTTATTTGGATGTACAACTTATTCAAAAGTTAGAAAAATACAATAAATAAATGAGACAGAACTTGTCATTTGAATATAACAAAACTTGATTGTATAAATTCTTCCTACCTAAATATACTTTATGGCCTGATTATGTTTATCATGAAAGACATTGTCGCTTCTGGGTGTTGACTTCAATGTCCACTTCCACATATATTTTTATTATAAGAGATTATAATAAAAACATTTTGAAATTGCTACACAATAAATTTTTAATTATTACTAAAATTCATTCTTTCATTGAAACCCAAAAGGATGAAATTGTCAATCCTAATATGTCATCTGACAAGATCCTTGTTAACCATCCTTTAATAATTCAAATGTCTTCTAAGAGTAAAAGAAAAGAGAATTTTTTTAAATTCATACCAAAAATAGAAAAATTAAAGTAACATTTTTTTCTTTAATTTAAAACTGCAAATGAAAAAGAAAAGAGAGAGAGAGGTTAGAAGAAATTAAAAGATTCTTTGCAGATTAACCATGTAAAAGTAATTACAGACAATTCCTTTATCTGCCTGAAGGAAAAGGGAATGATAAATAAGGTATCTTCAAGACATGCTTTAAGTAATTCTTTCCCAGCACTTTTAATCCACCTTAGACAAAAGTTCAGTGAAGTGTTTGTGAAATAATCAGCTGTTTAATATCATTTTTATGCCATTTTTTCTTCTATTTTTCTCCTCGTTCTTATTTTTCTGTGAAGCAATTTAACCACACTTCTAAAATTAATCCTTGAGGAAAGCTTGAGTTGAATACGCAAAACTCTTCAATTTGAGTTGGGATTATCTCTTGGATTATGCATTAGAATAAAAGAAAAATTAAAGAAGAAATAGGGGGTGGGTGGAAACAGTAAAGTTAATTTAGCGCCAAGTGTTTAAAGAATATCGCTTAACATACTAGACAGACAGATAGACGTAGAGAAAGATCTAGAATTGATGAAAACCAAATTCTCTAAGAGATTTTTCCCCTGAAATGGCCAGCTGAAAAACTATTTTCAATTCAATACAGAATGTTGAAAAGGAATATATCGATTAAAACTCATGAGATTTGCAAATGTCGTTTATTTGTTTGTCTCTTTGCTTGAAATAATGGTTAAAGAAAGAAAAAGATTATATCACTTGAATTGAGTTTACACATCAAATGCTATTTCAAAACACCATTCCAGAAATATTATTCTTTCAAACAAGTTTCATATAATTCAAGCGCATCATATTTTAAAAAACAAGAGGAAATATAAAAAAGACATTATCTATGATCATATAGGGAATTCTTCATGCAACAAAAACTTACGTTCTCCACCCACAAAAAAAAAAAAAAAAAAAAATGATATCCAAGCATTAAAAAAAGTCATAGCTTATAAAGGAAACTAATGTAAAAATAAAATAAAACTGTAATAAGTGAATCCCAAATGATTGAAATAATGTTCTTAGATTCTTGATTCTGTTTGAGTTTTAAAATTCAGACACATCAAAAAGCTAATTTATCAACCATTAATTTCTTTCTGTTTCAAAAATCATATACATGATAATAATAATAATAATAATAATAATAATGATGATAATGCATAATAAAAATTCTAATATTTTTTACACTTTAAAATATTTCAAAACAATTTAAAATCAATGGTAGCTGAGCATTATAAAAATAATTTTAGTAATTAATCAAAATTAGAATTACAGGAGAGGGGGATTTCAGTTTCCAATGCTAAATCTTAGACTGGACAATAACTTTAAATCAAGTGATGTGGAGACAAAATTTACTTTGGTTTAATATTAAATTTAAAATTATTATTATAAGTAGCAAAATTTCACCCTGTACAAGGCCCAAGAACCACTCCAGGTAGAAGTTTACAAAGTTAGATATAAGGTGCACAGTTTATGAGGATATGTGGGGAATATAGCAGTTAGCTCTAAATATGAACAAGTTAAGATTATAGTGATCAGTTCCATGAAGTAGTGGCTTATGGGAAAAAGTTGTTCAAGTAGAACTTGCATGTCACTAATAGAATATGAAGGGAATGAGGATGGTTCAATACAATGTGTGTGACATGACGGTCTTGGCAATAAAAAAAATGTCTGTTCAATTAAAAATAGCAATTCTATTGTCTTCACTCAATGTTATAATCAATAATATAAAAGAATTTCTCAAGAAATTACCAAAGAGTAATTTAAGCATAGATGACAGAAATAATAAAATTGAACTTGGGTTGGGACTGAAAACTTTATTAAAAGTAGTTAAAATTTATATCCTGAAAATTTAGCTTTAAACTTTTGCAACAAAGTTTTTTTGTTTTTTTTTATATATATATCATTCACAGTAATTTCAGAGCTACAAACTAACAGGGTATGATTATTTAAAAACATAAATGGTTTTAATTTAGAGGTATGAACATTGAATGATAATAAAAATACACAGTGATAATTTGTTTTAATAAACCTATCCTCATATATGAGTGAAATTATTATCATACTGATTACTATAATTAAATTTAAGTTCTTTTTAACCAATAAGCATTTGCAATTTATTTATTTTACAAGGCTTTAAAATTTCATAAATAATAAAGATACCAAACACCAAGATGGTAAGGTTCTATTGTATAGATTAATTGATAAATTTGAGTACAAATTTTGTCAGTTAGTTAAGTACCACACATGATTAGCCAATCACGTATCTTTCAATACATGACTGACTAGGCAAAAGATTTTTCCTACAGTAGGTTGCCATTTCTTTCTAGGGTAGACTGGTTGCCAACCAAGGCTAAAGAACCCAGTCTGTCCTGCTATTCTGTCCATATCTGGTAAGAGAAGAGATGGATTCATACCTTTCCCAAGGGTTTTTGTGCGTAAGTGAATATGATGAATTTGACTGAGATTCAAACTCAGCTCTCTGAGTTCTCATTCCAAGCTGATATCCATTACACCCCAATGCACATCTCATACATAGTTTACAGATTTCATAATAGTTTTATGTTAAAAAGGCATCTTGTAGACTTATGTTGAATTATCTAACCCCATCATCAAGTCAATGTTCCTATAGAAATAAACTACAGAACATGATAATTATTAGCTGCAACTCTCTCAAGGAATACACAATGTCGGCTAAATTAATTTGAACCATTTTATTAAATATTTCATACTGAGTGACATGAAAGGATGGAACAGAAGTAGGGTTTAATAAAAAAAATAATACCAAAATATATTGGAATAAATGTAATTAATTAATAAGCCTATTTAATCTAAACTTAGAATAAATCAGTCTCTTGACTCCATAACAATAATTTTAATTTGTTTAATACTAATAAAAGCAGAATTCAAACTTTACTTTGAAAACAGCTGTTAACTTAGACAATAATTCAATATATTAGCATCACTTTTTAATATTCTATAGTTTTTGTCATTTGTTATTTAAAATCTATAAACATAATAATTGAATGGATCATTTATTTTTTCAAATTTTATCTTGCATGTGAAAATAAATAACAAAGAAAGATCTAATAAAAAATATTTTGCTGGAATTTTCCCAATATGAAAGAAAAATAAATAAATCACCTTCTATCTTATTTTTATACTTTTTCTTTTACAACAATAATTTGATATCGACAACTTTAATATGTTAGCTCAACAGTGTCTCTAATTCTAATCATAATTTGCAACATTTCTCAGACATTGCAGTAAAATATAACAAATTATTTTGTCACTTTTTCTTACACATTTTCTTTAAGTATTAGAAGTAAATATACCTTTGATGTGAAATATACAAATAAGTTACATGTAATTGAAAAAGCAGAGATAGGACCTATTAAAAATGGAGTGTAAATTGGATGAAAGGGAATTTATTTTTTTAAACAGATGGCTAATGATGATTTTCAGAGGAATTTTGATTGGCTCACATGAGAATATAAAAATGTATGTGGGAAAGAAATTTGTAGAAAATGTAAGGAAAAGATAGAAAATAATAAAAAGAAAAATAACAAATAATAATGAAGAGAAATGAGTGAGAAAGTGTTCACTAGATTGAGAGAGAGAGCAGGGACTGTGCAAAGAAAGAAAGATAGAAACTTATAGAGAAGGAATGTGAAGGAAAATGAAATCAGAATATCAAAGAGAAAGATGGAGTGGGTTAACAGAGAGAGAGAAAGCAAAGATGGGATATACAGACAGTAGTAGAAATGATTTATATATATATATATATATATATATATATATATATATATATATATATATATATATATGAGAGAGAGAAGAGACAAAATAAAAAATTAGACAGGAAACACAGAGAGTCAGAAATGTGATTGAAAGAGCAAGGGAGAAGATAGGCAGGACAGAGAGGGAGAGAAGAGAGGCAAGAGTGAGGGAGGGTAGAGCAATTAGATAAAGAGCAAAGGATATGTGAGTGATAGAGAGACTGATAGAAGAGGGACAGGATAGAGAGACTGATAGAAGAGGGACAGGATAGAGAGACTGATAGAAGAGAGAACGGGAGAAGAGGGACAGGATAGAGAGAAAAGGAGAAGAGGGACAGGATAGAGAGAAAAGGAGAAGAGGGACAGGATAGAGAGAAAGGGAGAAGAGGGACAGGATAGAGAGAAAGGGAGAAGAGGGACAGGATAGAGAGAAAGGGAGAAGAGGGACAGGATAGAGAGAAAAGAAGAAGAGGGAAAGGATAGAGAGAAAAGGAGAAGAGGGACAGGATAGAGAGAAAAGGAGAAGAGGGACAGGATAGAGAGAAAAGGAGAAGAGGGACAGGATAGAGAGAAAAGGAGAAGAGGGACAGGATAGAGAGAAAAGGAGAAGAGGGACAGGATAGAGAGAAAGGGAGAAGAGGGACAGGATAGAGAGAAAAGAAGAAGAGGGACATGATAGAGAGAAAAGGAGAAGAGGGACAGGATAGAGAGAAAAGGAGAAGAGGGACAGGGATAGAGAAAAGGAGAAGAGGGACAGGATAGAGAGAAAAGGAGAAGAGGGACAGGATAGAGAGAAAGGGAGAAGAGGGAAAGGATAGAGAGAACGGGAGAAGAGGGACAGGATAGAGAGAAAGGGAGAAGAGGGACAGGATAGAGAGAAAGGGAGAAGAGGGACAGGATAGAGAGAAAGGGAGAAGAGGGACAGGATAGAGAGAAATGAAGAAGAGGGACAGGATAGAGAGAAAGGGAGAAGAGGGACAGGATAGAGAAAAGGAGAAGAGGGACAGGATAGAGAAAAGAAGAAGAGGGACAGGATAGAGAGAAAAAGGAGAAGAGGGACAGGATAGAGAGAAAGGGGAGAAGAGGGACAGGATAGAGAGAAAGGGAGAAGAGGGACAGGATAGAGAGAAAAGAAGAAGAGGGACAGGATAGAGAGAAAAGGAGAAGAGGGACAGGATAGAGAGAAAAGGAGAAGAGGGAAAGGATAGAGAGAAAAGGAGAAGAGGGACAGGATAGAGAGAAAAGGAGAAGAGGGACAGGATAGAGAGAAAAGAAGAAGAGGGACATGATAGAGAGAAAAGGAGAAGAGGGACAGGATAGAGAGAAAAGGAGAAGAGGGACAGGATAGAGAGAAAAGGAGAAGAGGAACAGGATAGAGAGAAAAGGAGAAGAGGGAAAGGATAGAGAGAAAAGGAGAAGAGGGACAGGATAGAGAGAAAAGGAGAAGAGGGACAGGATAGAGAGAAAAGGAGAAGAGGGACAGGATAGAGAGAAAAGAAGAAGAGGGACAGGATAGAGAGAAAAGGAGAAGAGGGAAAGGATAGAGAGAAAAGAAGAAGAGGGACGGGATAGAGAGAAAGGGAGAAGAGGGACAGGATAGAGAGAAAGGGAGAAGAGGGACAGGATAGAGAGAAAGGGCGATAATAGATAGGATAGTAAGAAAGGTGGGAAGGAAAATAGGATATATATATATATGAGAGAGAGAGAGAGAGCGGGAAGATCAGAGATTGAATAAAGTAATAGAGAAGGAGAGTAGAGATGGAATAGCCTGTGTGAAAAAGTTGAGAGTAGATAGAGAGTGGGTAGCAATAGTATACAGAAATAATTTATGACAAGAAAGACGTGTAAAAAGAAAATGTAAATATACTGCAAGAAAAAAGAATATTTAAAAAAAATTGAATCCATATGTAAAATATGTGCAGTTTTTAAGTATCAAAGAAAATTTTAAGTATCAGAAAAAAAAATTTAATAGTTAAGCCCTCCTCACCCTATCAAGTGGTTAAAGAAAAATTATTTATTTTAAAAAAATGATATTCACTAACTCAGACCAACTACAATTAATAAAAAAAAGTTCTATTCTTTCATAAAAAGATAAGTTTTTCAAATCTTTCTTGTTTTTATGTTTAAATACTAACAAGTGATTACTCCCAGTCTATCTTGTTATTTAACCCGTAGTTGGGGGAGAATAGATGGATTCAGGGTATTTGTGCATAAGTGAATGTAACAAACTTGGTTGAAATTTGAACTGCAATCCATTAAACCACATATACATCCAAGTGTTTTATAAATGTTGGTTGGATGCCATTCGTAAGATGGTGACTTGATAATACCACTCATCTCCCAGCAAGACTGGGCCACTCATGGGAATGCATCACTCCAGGAAAATACACAGTGACTGAAATTCTTCAGTTGTGTGATTTTTACATTCTGCTGCAGGCAGAAAAATTATTTAAAAATCACCAGATGTGACAGTCTGTTCAGAAGATATCCAGTCATTATTTACATTATTTTGGTTTTTAATCAGTTCACCCTAAACAAGGCAATAAAGCCACTAAGACACAAAGGCTTACTGAGTGTTAGAGAATATAAGAAAAAAAAGCACCAAGAGAACAATAAAAGTACAGGAATTAAGACGACAGAAGATAACAACTGACAATTATATGCAGACTATTGTCATCAACTTTGCTTTTAGTCTCAAAATGTTTTGGCAAATGTGCCCTCTAGGTGCTTGTCAATCTTAGTAAATATTTAAGGAATTTTGAACTGAACCTTTTATTTAATCTAAAGAGGACAGGCTGTTCTCATTCTCTTGACCATGTCTACAAATATCTCATTTAGTTCCTATTTAATTTTGCTCAGTTATTGCTTCCCTTAAACGAGATGAGATATTCCTATATGTTCAGTGGAACAAGAAAACTCTGTAGATTTAATAAAGTGTTCAGTTCAGAATTCACTGAAGGTTACCTGAATTGATAAGCACCTGATGAAGGCCGGAGAGCATAAAGGCCAAAAAGCTGTGATAACAACAATACAGATGAGGACAATAATCTTCATGCAAATTAATGATATCTCCACAATACTGAAATTCAAACAGGAAATATATAACCATTTTGAATATCCTATGGCTTTCATAGTCTTGATGCCAACCTATCTGAAGATATCATACAACACATTTGTCAACAGACAATCTCAGTTGGCAGTGAGATGTCATTAAATGAGCTTGTGTACTGTGTGATCATCACATTTACAATGACTGAGTAGGTTTATGCATTATGCATGGTTTTCCTTGATGAAACATTCTATAACTGAGCTATGACAACCACTACACATATCCAGAGTTGGCTCCCTGAGAATTCTGTCTTTTACCAAAATTAAAATTACCTTTGAAATGCGATGGATAAAATTAAAAAGAATGCAGCAAGGCGATTCTGAAAGGGACATTACAACCTGTTTTGAAATGTGTGAGAGATACTGGGATAAGTGAAGGAGTACTTTGAAAAAGACTAAAGCACCATTGCCCTAGGTAGGTTTGCTTTTCATTAATATTAATTGGTTTGTTACTTTCTGAACAGACCAAAAATAGAATCCAGAAAGATCTAAGAATATATCAGCCAAAATATGCTGTTCAAAAGCTGCAGAAAAGTTCATGGAATAACCAAAGTACTCCCTCCAAGAAATTTGTGAAAATTTGGCAAAAGTAAATTTGAAGAAACTTAAGTTTTGATACCTGAAAGTTGAATATCTTGATTGTTAAAAAATTTAACATAATAATTTGTGATTCAAATTAATAAAATTTTAGTAACCTTTTTCTTTTAAAAGGAGGCATGTAGAGTAATGGATGGCAGCTTGGATTGAGGAAATGGAAAGCTTAGTTCTAATTCCAGTCAGGTTCATTACATTCACTTATGTACTAATACCCTTGGGAAAAGTATGAATTCAACTTTTCTCCCCCTAGCAGTGAGTAAATAGTAGGACAGACTGGGTTCTATAGACTTGAGTGGCAGCCAGTCTAGGAGAAGGAAAACTCTGATTTTAAAACGGTATATAGCCCTGGTGAAGCACATAATATGCAGCTAAGCAAAGTATTGTTCACATTGACTTGATAAGCCTGGATACAATCGACTTCTTTTCTTTTAAAGTATCTTTAAAATATTTTTTGACAAATATGAGGAGAAAAGAAATGCATATCCTTCTGTTTCAATAAAATTACTTTTCAAGACATACATTCCCTGCAAAATACAAAAAAAAATATTCAAATATCTCTTTAGACCAAGCCTTCTTGGTTTTTAAATCAATCCTTCATATGCAAGAAACATTTTCTGATTGAAGGATTAAATCTGTAGATCTAATTAAATAGCAATCTAATTCCATGCCGTTGATCACAAACTTTGACTTCCTTTCCACTTTTATAACACAACTTGGAGGGTCCATTAAACAATTCTGACATCTTCACCAAAGAAGCCATCAAAATTTAAACTTTCTCTATTTCTTTATTTTTGCTTCCTCTTTCTTTTACTTCTAAGAGGAATATAGGCAATTAAATCAGTTGGCTTGGTCTTCCCAAAACAGGATAGATACTCAGGAAGGTGTCAATTTTTCCCCCCCATTCAGCTAAGTACAATAAAAAAAAAAATAATAATAATTCATCTTCATGTTTGGATTCCTCTCACTTTTTTTTTTTTAAGTGTGAAACTTTATCACCATCTTTCTTTTTTTGCGTATTTTGTTTCCATTTTATTCTTTTGGGGATTTTTCAGTTTTCTAAAAGTAAAAGAAAAAGATAATTCACAAGGGAGTTAAGAATTTTCACTAAATTAGAAAATATGATATGAAAAATCAGTCAGCTTTAAATCTAATTCCCTACATTCTCAGACATTCTTACTCAGATTCTCATGCATTTATTTCTTCTCTCAACCATAACTTTATATCTCCAATCCTTTTCAACTGCAATTCATCCCTTAACAGTATTATCAGCTTTCCCATCCTGAGAATATATATATATATATATATATATATATATAATATTTATATATATATATATATATATAAATAAATATATATATATATATATAAATATAAATAAATATATATATATATATATATATATATATATATATATATATAATATATATATATATATATATATATATATATATATAATATATATATATATATATATATATATAATAAATATAATATATATATATATATATATATAAATAAATATAAATATATATATATATATATATATAAATATATATATATATATATATATTATATAATATATATATATATTATATAATATATATATATATTATATATATATATATATATATATATATATATATATATTATATAATATATATATATATATATATACATACACACACACACACAATCGATTAACATGTACGTAATTCCCCAGTATTCTTTTCTTTTTTTTTCAACTTCTCTTTCATATCTGTTTACATGATCTTTCTTTTATATATACAACTTCTAACTCTGACACATCTACCTTTATCTAAATCTTCTGTAGATTCAGTCACCTGTCTTTATCAGTTCTTCAACACATTCACACATGTTGAAATCAATATGATCATCTCTTTCTTCCACCTCACCCTCTCTTTTATATCACATTATATGATCCCTATCACATTTCTCTCTTATATTGCTCATTTTTTGTTATGACTATTATATTACCAGTCTTACACCTTCTGTCATTTCTATTCAATTTATTAAGCTTGGCACAAGACCAAATAGAAACAAATCGTGGGTGGAAGATTTTACTATGCTAATCACCATCATTGGGAAACAGAGGCAGCTGACAAGGTGCCATGGAGGCACTAGATCTATCAAGAAACCTTCCTCCCTAAATTAAGTTTAAGAAAAAGAGCAGAGGAAAAGAGGCAGCTCCACAAGTCTGAAGCCCCTGTCAGCTGCTAAGCCTTCAGTTGCAAAGCATGCCTATCCCTCACTAACTACATGAAATCCTGTGGAAATCTCTCTTAAATCTTAATTCCAAAAGCCAAACTATGAATCCTCCAAGAAAAATGACTTTGCCTAAAAAAGCAATATCTAAAATTCTGGCTTTTACCTTGACTTTTGCCACTGGTGGCAAATATACAACAATTTTAAGCAATATGTTTATCTCAATCATCTCAGATTGAGATCTAAAGAGAGCAAAATAAACAGACATCCTTATTTTTTGCAGTTTTGGCATCTGATTCATTCACAACTTAATTCTTACTTCCTAATATGTTGTACTTCAGTAATACAGGTGTAATGATACAAAAGATGCTTCTCCCTTTGGTAGAGATGTCATATGGGTCATATGACAGTCACTTAGTGCTGTTGATCCATACAGTGATGAAAGTAGCAGCCAAATTGAGTTTGTTTGCAGCATCTAAACTGTAAGGTTGCTTTCTTTAGCCAGATATTCCCATCACTTAGGCAGAGATTAAATCTGTCTCCCCAGCAGCATACAAGTCCATGGTGCAGTTTCACTTTGGGAATATATCTTTCCCAGATATAGAAAGACACTCGAGCTTGCAAACCTCAATTTGGGAAAATTGAAGACTTGCCACTTCCTGTTCATGGAATATGTTTTGCCTAGATGAATCTGGTCTGTTTCAATCTGGAATCCTAAAAATGGCTTCTCCAGGCACAGGAGTATCTTCATAATATATGTAACACTCTTCCTTTTTGTTTCTCTTTACAATTCTTTGCCGTGTAGATATATGTGATATGTGTATATATAGTTTAGTGCATGGATTAGTGTGTAAAAGTCTCTCTGAGAACAAAGCATGTTTGTCATTCCTTTTCCTTTTAGCCATTCCATTCCATCTGTGAACTATTATATCACAGATATAGTAATGCCCATAATGGGGGAAATACAAATGGGAGAA